TTGGGAGTCATCTTGAAAATGTCCCCCTCCAGGGTCCTCAGCTTGGGCATCATCCTCAGGTAGAGGGACGTGAGCTTCGGCAGGTCTCTGATCCATCCTGGCTCAACTGAAACAGAGGGGAAGCTGCCCACTACCCAGGAAGGCACAAACCCAGGAGGCCAGCATGGCATAAGGAAACAACAAGAGTGACAAGGTGGGTCGTGAAGAATGTCATTGCCGAGCAGTGGTACAGTTAGCAGTTTTGGGGATCTCAGAAGCCTGGCCATTTCAGCTGGAAGAGCCCTCGGGGATAACCAGTCCCAGTTCACTAAGGCCAAAGAGAAGAATGTCTGGCCCAAAGATGTACAGCTGGGAGAGGACAGAGACAGAACTTGAACCCAGGACGCTGTCTCCAGGTCCACTGCATCCCCATCTTCTTGCTAAACATCACACAAAAAAATAACCAGGCTTCACTCAGATGGCTACCAGGGGAGTGGGAAACTTTCGAGGATTGTAAGTAAGGAGGAGAGGAGGTCCAGAAACCTAATTTTGTGGCTCTCCTAATAAATGGAGAATGTGCCCTTCCCCTCTGTTCTCGTTCTTTTTCTTTTTGTCTGTGATGGAACAAGTGGTTACAGACACATGAAGTGCTTTTTTTTTTTTTAAATAATAAAACCAACCTTGTGAATCAAAGTCAGAACACCAAGTACAGGAAAACCATTATCCTCACCTCCCTCCTGTGTCTTGTTTAAATGGTGCAACATTAACAGAAGCAATTTTAGCCAACCAAGTAGAAAAATCAATGGATTCATCCTCAGAGCACACTGCACATTAATTAACTGCACGTTTGGTGCCAAGCTCATCCATGACTCAACCCCAAAGTGATGCATTCCCTTCTCTATTCCACAAGCATTTATCCAGCTATGCTGGGACGCAGAAGAACAGAGTGGCTACAGTTTTCCTGGGTTCGGATTTGGAGGCATGAAACACTTAATGAGCTGTGAGACCACAGGCCAGTTACGTCACAGTTCTGTGCTTTGGTTCCCTCCTATGTAAAATGGGGATAGTAACAGTTCCCACCTCTTAGGACTGAGGGAATTAACCCCAGTGTGGCGCTTCAAACAGGGCCAGCTTGCTCTGGAGATGCAGCTGGCGTTATTATTTTAGTTTTTTAGCAACAAGGTCTCACTCTGTCACCCAGGTTGGAATGCACCCAGGTGCCATCATAGCTCACTGTAACCTCAAACTCCTGGCTCAAGTGATCCTCCCGAGTAGCTGTGACTACAGGTGCATGCCACCACGCCCAGTTAGTTTTTCTTATTTTTTGCAGAGATGGGGTCTTGCTATGTTGCCCAGGCTGGACTCACACTCCTAGGCTCAGGCGATCCTCCCGCCTCGGCCTCCCAAAGTGCTGTGATTATAGTCCTGAGCCACCCGGTCGGCCCTGGTGTTATTTCTGAGCTCTACTGTGAGTTAGGCACCCGGGTCACCCATTGAGGAGGAGCGCAGCCCTGAGCGGCTCTGCGCTCGGGCCAGCTGAGGACGCGGGGCGCCCCGACTCACCCCGCTCGAGGAACGTGCCGCTGAGATCCAGGACCTCGAGCGCGTCCAGGGGCGCGCCGTCCGCTCCGGTGAACGCCGCCTGGGCGATGCCGCCCCCGGCGCCGCGGCCCAGCGCGGAGGCGGACAGGTTGAGGAGCCTCAGGGCAGGGAAGCAGGCGAAGGCCCGGGGCGGCAGCGCCTGCAGCGGGTTCCCGGAGAGCGCCAGCGTGCGGAGGCTGCGCGGCGCGGGCCCGGCGCACGGCGGCAGGGCGGCCAGCTGGTTGTAGCTGAGGTCCAGCGTGTGCAGCCCCGCCGGTCCGCCCTGGCCCCAGCTCAGCGCGGCGACGCGGTTGTGGCGGAGCGTCAGCACCTGCAGCTGCGGCAGGTGGCCGAGGTCCGACGCGCTCAGGGCGCGCAGCAAGTTGTGGCTGGCGTCGAGGCTGCGCAGGGCGCCGGGCAGGCAGCTGGGCAGGCGCTCCAGGCTGCGGTTCGCGAGGGTCAAGGTCGTGACCCCCGCGGCGGGGAGCCCCTCGCAGGGCGAGCCTGTGGCGTTGCTGCAGCCGCACCCCCAGGAGCCCTGCTGAGTGAGCCAGAAGAGCGGGACCCTCTCCTGGGGAGGATCCGCCTTGCTTAGGCGCGACACCGTCGGCGGCAGCAGCAGCAGCAGCAGCAGCAGGGGCCGCCACATGGCGCGGCTGGGGACAGAAGAGCAGGAGGCCCATTAAATCCAGCAGAAACCCCCGAACAAAGGGACAAATGTGCGCCCTCGCTCCATGCCCTGCAGGACTCTGAGGAGGAGCACAGGCCCTGGATGCTCCCTGAAAGGCAGGGGGACCTTCCCAGCGTCGCCAGGTGTGCAGTGACTTTGCCCTTGCCAGCTTTCCTTCTGTCGTCTTCCCCTCGCGCACGGTGGCACCTCCTGCCCTTCCTTCTCTCAGGAATGCCTTTCCCTTTTCTTGTGGGAGAGATGCCTCATCTGTCCAATCTGGGCCTGAACCTCCCAGTAACCCCCCTGAATCTCCCCATCACGTGAGCTTCTGTAGGGAAGGGATGTCCCTTGTATTGCTGTGAATTGAACAGTCGCTGCTCCATAAACGTGAACGCCCTCAGTCAGGAGGAAGCTAACTGGGATAGAAACACGGACTGGAAGATTTTGCCAGTTGCAGCAATGCTCACTTGCCCCAATTTTTCCCATTAGAATTGCCCAGCCACAGGTGAGTCCTAGTTTGCATAAAATATGTTCTGGGGTCCCTTTCTTGGGAGCATGCTCGGGGTTGCCTTCAGGAGAAAAAAGGAACCCCCAGAGAGCTGTGAGGCTTGGGACCCCAGAGTCAAGCATTTCCTGGTCCTACTCAGGTTCCAACAAAAGCCAGGACCCCTAGTGTTAGCCCTGCCCAGGAGGGATGGCTGAAAGCTGCTAGGTGTGGAATTTCTTGAGTACTCAACACTCCAATCCACAGGGCAGAGGAGATCAGGTAGGGGTAGATCAGGCAGTCGTAGGCTGGTTTAGGAGTGGCACAGCTATTTCCAACCAGGCTCTGGACTTGAGGCCACTGCTTGATATCCCTCCATGACTGCAGATGTGTGTTCCTGCCCCAGCTCTCTGAGCTGACCACCAGACCTCCAGGCAACCACCCAGGCTCCAGGGGAAGGGCCTCCCTCTTGCTAGATAGAGGTCAGGGCAGTGAGAAAGATCCTGGAAACTGAAGTCAGGAGTCCATGTGTTCAGCATTGTGTCATACTCACCCAGACGCTGTCCTCCTGGAGTGTGGTACCCTTGGACCTTGGATGCTTGTTTTAGAGATTCCAGGAACAAGTGGCTTAGACCGAAACTCAGCTCTGAACTCGAAACTCAGCTCTGAACTCAGGAGGGAGGCATAGTTCCCAGCCACCCTTCCCCTGACCTTATCCACAGAGAGGGCCTGAGACACTCCAGCCCCTCCTGCTCCTCCTTCCCCATCAAGACTCCGCTGTCTTTAGCCAACACCCTCATTGCCTGGCTGTCTCCTCCCCCTCTGGGGCCTGGGCCTCCCCCTTCCCAGGCCTGGCACCTCCTCTCCACCCTCCCCACCTTCCCCTTTCCTCACACCGCCTCCCCAGGTGCGCGAGGGCTGCCGGGGCGCAGTGAGGCAGAGGAGCACCGTCACCTCTCAGGCATCCGATCCTCCCTGCCGGGTGGGTCCATCTCCTGGGATGATGCGAGGCTGACTGGTGAGCCAGTGAGAGGGGGAAGCTCCCTTACCCAGAGGAGGGGGTACCCCAGACTGGGGGAAGGCTCTCAGGGATTTTCAGGGAACGTGGCAGGAGAAGGAAGCCTCGGAGCGTCTGGCTCAGGCTCAGACCAGATCCCCGCATCCCCAAGGAGAGTTTGGTTGCTCCGAGACCGAATTCAGCCACAGGGTGGGTGTTCGTCTCTCATAAGCAGTGAGAATAAACAAAGAGGGCAGAAACTCAGAAAGGACGTTCCTGCTGTTCCATCCCATGGCTGGGACGACCGGTCCTGATTGCCACAAGCCCCCGGTCCCCCTGAAGATGGGGTGATGCCGAGTGAGCTTGTGTGGAGCTCGTCTGCTTAGAGCAGGCAGCGCCTAGGAACCCCCAGAGGTCCAAGAGCGGAGATCAGTCATTTCATCTGAGAGCTTTGATCTGCACCCTCCCCCCACCTCCCCCGGCCCCACGGCAGGGGCTGCGAGCTGGCCAGGGTTAATGACCCCAGCTTGGTGTGACAGACCCTGAGACCAGAACTGCACTTATCTTTCCTCCTGTCAGTCCTTATCTGGGCAGCCCTGAGGAACCGCAGGACACCTCGGAAACTGGCCTGCTGGGTTAATGGCATCATTGGAAGGCCCTGGGGGGGTCTCCTTTGAGGCCTTCTCCACCCAAAGCCTCAAAAATATCCTTCCAGTCTTGGTGCCGGCAGGGTCTTGCTGCTCAGGAGTGTCCCTCATCTGCCTGAACCCGGGCAGGGGGAGGCCAGTCCTGTGTTCCCCCGGCCTGGGGCCAATGCAGTGACCACCTAGGGAGTCTGTTTCTACCCAGAGGTAGAAATGAATACCGTGCATACAGCAGGAGGCCAGGGAGAAGTCAGGGAGAGGTGGGAAAGTGCGAGGTTGGGGGTCGGCTCCGAGGGGCCTCGCCTCTGCCTTTGCACAGACAGCTCCACGCCCAAGAATTAAAACATCAGGTTTCTCTCAAAGTTAAGCCAGCCGAGTCCTCCTCAGTGAGGCAACCGACCACGCTGAGGCCAGCAGGGGTTGGGGAGTTCAGGCAGGGCTGCCCAGAAGAGAGGGACCTCAATCCACTGAAACGTGCCCAGCTCAGGCAGAGACCCTGAGGAGGAAGGAAGTTGGTCCACCACGGAGGCCTATAAAATAGGATCTCGGGGAGCCGCGTCAAGCATACTCCTCTGTGCACCAACCTGAGGTCATCAGTCTGTGCTTGCCTGGAGCCCCAGGCCCTCTGAGCCACCTTCTTGTCACTGCTGCTTGCTAGTGGTGGCAAGGTGGCTGAGCTTGGCTGTCTGGATGGCCCTGCTGCCGTGGGTCTGGGGCACACAGCTAGTGCGCTGTCGGACTTAACCACTGTGTTAAATGGCCTCCTGTGGACCTCGGCGCTTGACGCTGTAATAGTCCCCGTAAGTGCAAGAGCAGCTTTCCCAGATATTTAGCTAGACCCAAATCATGCGAGAGGCCGGGACAGGTGGGACATTTCCTTTGCGAAGTTGAGCAGCTTATACTCAGAAGACACACAGCCAACTCCTTAGGTCACTGTGCGCCCAGCACTGGGGAAGACGACTGGACGGGACCTGCTGGGCACCTCCTGGGGAGGCCTAGCCCTCTTCTCCAGCCCCTCCTCCTCTTCCAGCACTGCTTGGAGGTCAGAAAAAGATGACTGAAGAGTTTGTCCCCTCCAGAGAAGATGCTGAGTCCCGAGACAAAGTCTTGGGACCAAAAAGTATGCGTCTTCCAAATGTCGCACCAAATGCTGTGCCATGCGACGCCACGCCCCTCCAGGGCTTCACCTGAGCTGTTCCCCCTACCTGGGTGCTCCTTCCTTGATTGCCCTAGTCTCTGTTTTAGCTTGTTTGTCTAGACCTAGTGTGGACACCCTGGAAAGAAGACCCCGAGATGAGGACTGGGGTGCAGGTAGTTTATTTAAGAGGCAATCCCCAGAAGCATGGAGAGCGAATACGAAAGTGAGACAGAGAAGGGGAGGCGCTGACCATGTGTGAATGTGCAGGACACTACCCTGGGCAGCTGGGACTCTCTCTGGCTGGGGACTCTTGAGAGACTGTGTAGAGCACACCATAGGATTGTTCCATCAAGTGGCGAGGAAGTGGGGCATTTACCCACCATCGTCTGCCGCTTGCTGGTTGGAGGGTTCTTTCTGAGACTCCCTGGCACGTCTGGCTGTCCCCGAGCAGGCGCAGATCGAGCAACTCCACGGAGGGCGAAGGGGATGGGTGGGCACGGCAGCATCTGCTGTAGCACCCTGTAAGATTTCACCCAAGCAGGCCCCCTTTGCCTGCCCCAAGCTGAATTAGGTGCCCTTCCTGGGTGTGCTTTCCTAGGTGACCTTGGCTATCTGCCATCCGGCAGATCGGCGCAGATCTTCCGTGACTCAGGACTGAACTTCCTAAGAACTGGGCCACATGGTTCATCTCAGTGCCCCACAGTGCCCAGGGTGGAGTCTGCTCGACACATGAACGGGAAAAGGCCCCACAGAGGATGTGGAGGATCGTGACATCCTCTGCTGTGCCGGGGAGTGGAGGGGACAGAGCCCAAGATAGTAAACATGAAGTTCAAGGGCCTGAGATCTGTAGCCCAGGCCGTCTAGCATCCCCGCGTTGAGAAGGGTTAAGGTAGGGTTGAGGTGGGGGCAGGAGCAGAAGTGGAGGTAGGAAACTGAGTCACAAAGAGCTTTCCATTCCAGATGCCCGACACTCTCATGATCTTTAGGGGGAAAATCTGGAAGAAGATCACAGGGTTAGAGAGTTAGTAAAACCATAGCCCGTAGGGGAAAAGAGAGCCAGTAATTATACACTTGGCCACACTTCTCTGGATTTAGAGAAAAATCAGAGCCGTGGATCCTTGGCTTTAGAGGGACTTTAGAACTTGTCTGGCCCCACCCCTCCCTGTCCATTGTAGGAGGAGAAAACTGAGTCCCAGAGAGGGAAATTATTTTGTCTGAGGTCTGAGTGGTGAGTTCCTAATTATCCAGGGAGAGGGAATGGGGACCTAATTCTCACGATTCCATTCTGGGCTCCGGACTTACTTGCACAGCTGACCAGGTCTCGCCTGCCCTGGCATTAGCCATGTGGGCCTGTTCCCACAGATGTGGCTAAGGAAACACACCTGGTGAGCATCGGGCCACTGGGCAGAATTTCTAGGGGTTTTGACTCCTACTGTTCCCATCCTACCCTCAGAACTCCAGGAAGAAGCAACCCTAATACAGATTGCCCCAGGGACGTAGAATTGGTGTCTTCCAAGGGCGTCCTGTGTGGCTTCGTTTACAGTCCTGGCAGCCCAGGGTGGGGTGAGTGGGGCCAGCCCAGGTGACAGGTGACTGCTCAGCCAGCTCCCCCAACCCTGCCCTCTGGATGCCAGCAGGCTCTGCTGAGGGCTCTTCCCCAAATACCGGAGTCTGAATGTACAAGCCTAAAGATGCATTCTTCTCTGACACCAGAGA